TTTGGGCAGATGCCAGAAGGCCTTTCGAAAAGAAATGATTTATAAAGCTCGCGCTGGGCAATTAATTTACCCAAGTCCTAACTTCTATCCTTTCATACAATTTTTACGTCAAAAAGACAATGTAACGGATTTTCCCGATCAGAGTCCGGTCTTCTTTTATTAGTACCGGACTCAAGCCCTTGGCCGACCATGTCACGCATAACATGCAGCGACTGCTTTGATATTCGAGCAACGCTCAGTGGGTTACGCGCCACTCCACGATCAGCCCGCGAGCCACGCTCGAAACTCCTGTCCGATACACCGTTGGTATTTACCAACTCGGACATTCTAATGTCCAGCACGTTGACTATCTTGGTCCTGTGCTCTAGCCAATAGCGCTTTTGTCTCCTAGCAAAGGTGGGTTCATGACTCGCCAAAGCTCCACCAGGAGATGTGCGAGGTCTTTGACGTTCAATCAATCCATGGCTCATGGTGCTCCAGCCATGCCAATCCTAGGATGAGGTCATAACTTGCATCCGAGTCTAAGACTAGACAGCGTTACACACTATCAAAGTCGAGAGACTTGACTTTGAGGTTCACAGGAACCTTCGGGACCGTGATACGTGTCCCCGTCGCTAGGCGAACAGTGACGATGTCACCCAACCGCGCTTTCAGCGCCTCAGCGTACAGCTGGCCTCCACGACCAGCAAGCCCGGCTTGCATACACGTTCCGTGTTCAAGAGTACGGAGCTCTTCGGGCTGGGCCCTGATGACTTATGCCTCCCTGAGGCTCAACTGAACTCCGTTCTAAAGAGCCAATGTCCTTGCTGGGCCCTGAGGGCGTGCAACATCTTGCTGCGGGCCCCCGAGGCAATCGGTGTGCGCCTAGTGGCGTTTTAAAATTACGAAAACACGCTGCTAGAGCGCCTCGCAGCAGAAGATGTCTGAATCATTTGCGTATATGACGCCACTGCCAGTAGCGGATGGTTCCTTCTGACCTAAGCTGCTCATGGTGAGCGTTAAGGTCTTTGAGGGGAAGGATGGAGAAAATCTCCTGCTCTGGGTGAGAGAGGTCGAGATGGCCATCGCATCTGCCATGCTCCAGACCGAGCAACAGCGCGTGGCGCTAGCCAATGGGCACTGACGTGCGGCTTTTCGGTCGATGCTGCTTTTTCCTCCTGGGCGGAGCTGAAATTGTAGCTCTCACGAGTGTTCTCGCCGCCTAATCAGGCACATCGCGTTTCCTTGCCGCCCTACAGGGCAACAAGGAATTGGCGGACTTTGTCCAAGCGATGCGCTGTCTCATTGCTGGGATGGCAGCACCCCTTCCGGAGGCGGTCACATTGACCGTCTTTATAGAAGGCCTCAGCACTGGCGTGGCCAGAATGGAAGTCTTCCGTGTGAATCCGTCTTCGTTTGAAGAGGCGGTGAATCTGGCATTGAATGCCGAGTTCAATTTCAAGTCGGCACGACTTGGATGGAATACACACTTCAACAGCTCGTCGAAGCGGGCCTGTGCCCATGGATCTCAGCTATGCTGAGAACAAGGGAGAAGAGCTCCGAGCTGCCGGGCAGCACACAAATAAACGACGGTGTTTTGTCTGTGGAGACACCCGTCACCTTCGGAACGGTTGCCCACGGCGCAAGGCCGTCAAGGTTCTTCAAGCCATCGCTTCAATTCAACCAGTCTGGTTCGTCGCGGGGAAACGACAACATCCAGTAGGCGCGGGGCGACCTACTGGGGTAGTCCTGCATGCCTTTGGGCAAAGAAGAAAATTGTTCTGTCCTCACAGCGGATCAGTATAAACGACTCAGGTGTAGATTGACTACGAGTGCTACAAGTGCAGCGGGGCTGCCGTTACTTGCGCTGAATTTAGGTCTCCGACCATTCGTTCTTCACAAGACCAGAACGAGTGTAGCGGATCGCAATCCGCTACCCCCAAGGGTAGTTAGAACCCAAAGCTAATACACTCTCCTATTTCAAATGTAAACTGTATTATCTGCGGCAAAGCCGCCTAATTTTAAATGTATAGATTTTCCTAAATGTGTATAATAAAATCTAAATACATGCATACAGTAGAGTCCCGCTTAAATACGCCAGTTGATCCGGTACGGTTTGTGCGCATTTAACTGATAA